AAGTCATACCTAGCTTACATTGAAGTAGATTCTTTTAGATCTTTGCTAGATGAAAAAGTGGTAGCACCTGGGTTCAAAAGTGACACGATTGATATGTTTGTAAGAAGATGACAATTAGAGATAAGTGAATCTTCTTTTTATTTATGGTTGCCGTTGGGATATTGGGCTTCCAGGCTAGCCAAATATGCGGTGTTGGTTGTCCGGTGAGCTAAACCCAATGGAAGAAGACACATTTTTAAGTGAAGATAAGAACCGAGGATTCTAGAATAAAAATGTATGAGATTTAACTCATCATCATTAGGGAGACGCTCGAAAATGCAACTACTAGATAGCATTGAGATTAAATTTACTTGGACTACTATCAAGGGTGTTGCGATCGTGTGTGGGTATGACAAATTGGCATTTATTTTGTCAGAAACGGTACCCAAATATGATTTATCCAGTCAAGAGGTAAGAAAGATGGATGTATTAGTAAGGTCTTTCAATGAATCATGTAGGTGGATGTTGATGCATGCACTTTCCTTACATATTTTCATGTGGGGTTTTGCACCTTATCTAACTTTTTATTATTGTATCTATGACATAAGTTTTTGATGTACATGTATTCCTAAGATGTCGACAATTGATGTCTTATGAAGACATGACAATCAATGAAATCACCCGAAAAGGGAGCTCAAGAAGAAGAAATGTCACAAGCGGTGCATCAGACACACTAGCCAGAGGGTTGTTGTATGGCCCAGTTGGTTGTCATGGTCTAACTATGCAAGGATCACACTATCTTGCATTGGTGTGTGCCCCAGTGCTTAAGTTTTTGTCTGCCTCCGCATTGACATATAAACTCAAACAAAAAACGAGAGCAGAGTGGGAGATAACATATAGAAGTTCCCCAAGATATACGTAGTCTCCATTTCACCACCACACCAAGGGATGGAAAACCAAAGCCACCATCGCCAAGTTCTCCATCGACCATCCATAGTTGCCCAATCTTTCCAGGTTCGATTTATTGGTTTGTATGCGGGTTTATTTTGGGATATTTTAATTGTTGATATCATGGTATATCTCATTCGTACTCCGTTCTCGTCTCATGTTTCATTTCCTGCATAAGTCATTTCATTCTTGAGCCTATGGAGGTCTCTAGTCTAATGTCGAGTAAGATTGATTTTTTTGGGTACAATATATATATGGAGGGTGTGCTTCTCTTAGACCGACTAGGTGTGCTTGGGAGCCTTCATGGTGTGAAGGAACCAAGATGTTTGTATAGGCCTGAAGATTGCATACTTCGTGAAGATCTACCTCGATTCAGGCTAGACCTTTGTGGTCGTATGCCATGCTGGCCTAGGTTAGTTGCTCCTTTATGGACCTTTCATGGGTGTAGTCCTTCGTGGATCTCGCAACTGGGATCTTAAGTGATCCTAGAACCTTCGTGGTTCGAAGCTTCCATCAACGTTGAGTAGAATAGCGCCAACTATACGAAACATGGGAAAAATCTTTGTCGAGCCTCTATGTGTCCGTGTTCTCCTAACCATTACTCTTTACATATACCCGCTAATGTCTTCCGTTGTTGTACTCTTGTAGAATTGCTTGTGTAGGTGTTTGTAGGCTACCAATAGAAAAAGCTAAAAACTGTCATAAACTTAAAATTGGAAAAGAGTCATTCTTGTAGTCTATTCACCCCACTAGACATAGTAATGATCGTACATGGGCTTAACCACCTCGAATGGCCTTTTGCTGATTGTTGGTTTTGCACAAGTGTTACTTTTCCCTGCCCTCACAGATACAATACTTCATTCATTAAAAGTAGCAATAAAGATGGATGATTATGAGGACTTGCATGACATCAAATGTTTGACTTTGGGCAGACCTAGAAGATCTAATGATTTGGGCAATGGCTAAATGTCGATAAGTCAGGAGAAAAGGAAGAAAATAAAGGGGAGTATGATTCATCATGAATGGGAGAGTTGTAATGAAGCCACCCACCTCTATGCACCCCCACCTCACTTGATCACCTTACCTAAAATTTTGGAATAAAAAGAATTTATGATTCTTGTCGCACAAAAGAAGTTCACAATGAATCTTGGTCAAGTGTCACAATGTGGTCAAGGGCTGAGCTACTATACATCAAGAATGGTGAGGTTGGCGCAATAAATAATGGTTGACCAAGTAAATTGTAGAATTAAGCAGAGAATATGGACTAGATACGTACCTAGCTAGTGACTAAACATGCTAAGACAATGAGATTTTTCACCACAACATCTCAATTATTCTGTTTTTTCATGGGCATGAGCAGGAAGTAAGCTGACACATGTTGGTCTCCAAGATGATGCGGTGTTGTGGTGATAGCAACAAGGATGCGTCTCTCCGGTCTATCCAGCATGGGCTTGCCACTGGATGCAAACATGGTGGAAGGATGAAACACTCTGGGCAAGAGCCTCGTACCGACGAGTTACAGTGTCGAGCATGATGGTGCTTGCACATCTTCCTCCTTGGATTCATCTTTTTAAGAGCCCCCATCTTCTCCGTTGGACCATGGCCAATCGGGGTCAGGCAGCTGTGGTGGCTGCAGACGTGGTCGAAATCCTTCCCCAGAGTTTAATTCGGTGGGGTTGTGACTGCTTTGGGTGAACCCCTTGTCTCGACATGGGTCAGTGCTGATGACAATAGCATCAACTGTCACCTTGGAGGAGTTGCCAGAGATATCCGTTCAAGGCAAATGTTGTATTTGACGTTGGATGCCAGCTTGTGGTTGGCAGGTGCGCTTCGAGGGGTGTTAGTGCCTCCAATCGACATCTTCTTCTATTGTTTTCAAAAAAGGGAACGGAATGCTAAAACTGGAACTGCTAAAGGAACGAATTTTCAATAACATAACTTGGGCTCCTAGAATATGGCACCCTTGGGACAATCTATTTGATTGCAGGGTTTTGTTCGGAAGCAAAGATATCCGCGGAGGCCGGTTCGTTCGTCCTATTCTGATTTGGTCCCGGATTCTCTTTCGGATAGGCCCTGAAAGGAGAAGAAATTCTGAAATGCCAATGGACCTTTGTCTATTATCTAATTCACGTGCATTTGGCCTAGGTTAAGTAGTGTTCTCCTTTGTCAGGGTTTTACATGGTTGTACTCTACTCGGCCGTTCTTTGTATGGTTTTGGTCTAGTTTCCCTCGTAAACTAGACCAATCTTAATAAATCAACATAAACTCCCTGCCCACTTGACGAGATTCCCCAAGAAAAGAGAAGAGTATGCATCAATTTAAAAGAATACTAGATATCCCGATCAAACAAAAGAGCACTTGAGCTCGGTACTGCAAACCGATGTACCCCCACACTCATATCAATTGAGAGCTAAGACCCCTAAAAACAAGAGCTAAGACCACTCAAAATGCACAACATCATGATACTAGTGTATGAAATGAGAATACAGACTAGTATCATTTGTCAATTCATTTATTCCTTTGAAAAATCTCAATACAGCGCTGTGCGTATTGATACTGTGCCATACTATGGTACTAGAATCTCCTCTCTTATCCTTAATTACAATGTCATGTCATCTTTTTCTTAGATCTAAGCTCAATTCCCTATATGATTACTCACTCCATTTCAGTGAACAACGCGCACCATCTTAAAATTTAACTTTGAGCATAAATTAGACCAACCAGATGTGGATTGATAAACATTATACTGTTGAATTCATTGAAAAGAAGTTTTCAACGGTATAATTTTGAAGTCACAAAAATATATATTATTTATCTAATTTATGGTCAAAGTTAGATTTTGGGAAGCGTGCACGCCTTATTCATTGGAATGGAGGGTGTACATTCTCCAATTCCTCGAATGTAATAACAGCTCAAATGTCCTGGCCATCAACAATCTGCATCTAGTACTAATTTTCTGCTAAAGGGAATCAGAACACCCAAAGTAGCATGAAACATCATTCTTACTACATGCAATAATGGTCGAAACATAGCAACAGCTAGCTGACTATTCAGCAGGCTCATAATTAACTTGCTATAACTCTGTCCAGTTTAGACATGCTTGAAGTGGCCTAGCTATTTCAAGCAATTTTGAGATGGAATAAGTCCCTTACTTTCTATATTTTCTTTTCCCACATATAGCTATATATACCTACGATTGTTTTTCTATTGAACTTGGTCCGTGGCACTATGTACCATTTGATTACCTCTATGCCTTTAGCACATCAAACCTTACCTTAGTAAGTACTTGTTATAGCTGACATGAGCTATATCTAGCTAGTTGAAATAATTCACAACATGATTATGAAGGCTGTAGTGACGAAGAAGTAACATAACTACCCATTTTTGAAGTTGTCTACTGCGTGCATACATTCTGAGCTTCCTTATATAACTATCCATTCTTCAAACCAGGTACTGGGTGCATATATTCTGAACTTCTCTAACTATATAAAAATCTCTACCGCCAACAAAATAAAGCCTAAGCTGGCTTCTGCACTGTAGTTATAGCTGAGCGCTCAACTTGATCAAGACCTTTTCTCGCATATATACAACACTTCTGTAAAACTGAAAAGCAAAATTACTCATTGCATCTATTACTTGGGAAAACAATGATAAAACAAACCACAGTAGACACCAACTCATTGCCGACTTCATGCATGCATGGATGTTGCAGATGAACGTCCTTTCAGTTTAATTTACTATTTTGATCCCTGAATTTGCATTCGAACTGTAGCACTATATTTGCTCTCTTGTTCTTGCATGTAGTTTATGGATGCCAGACTTGTTTCCTGTGGCTACTTAAAAAGTTTTGCTTCGTACTAACTAGTGTGACAGACGCGTGGTGGTTGGGG